GTAAACCAGGTGAAAGGACTAGATGCTTCACCAATCCTATCTAGTTTGTAATGCAAGGTCGATAAAAAAGCAAGAATTGGAAATCAAAAACTAAACTTACTCACCTTATGCGTGTCAGAATTTACTTTCATCAATAGCAGCTTGATTCAAAGATATTTGTTTGTTTAGGTCAAACCTTGAATTCCAACCTACTTCTAGTCGTCGGATTGAATTGAAATTTGACAGGTGAGAATCAAAATGGCAATACCAAGATGGCGGACGAGATTAGTGGTTGTGTTGTGATGTGATTCAAAATTGGTGAGTGCGGATTTTCGGGGTCGAAGATTTTTAATTTGTTTTCGAGATTCATAATTTATCAGACTTGTGACTTCAAGATAACAGACGAGATTGGTGATTATGGTCCGATTCGATTTGAAAATGGCGGCTTCAATATGGCGGACGAGATCCAAGGTTAAGGTCCGATTCGATAGATATGGTGATAAGTCGAAAAGTTATTAGCTCAGAAGAATACGCAAAAAATGTTTTCATACCAAATCCAATATGACGGACAGCACAAGATGGTGAATAGTTATTTTTGTATCTAGAGCGCGAAATGCTACTTTTTTGATCGAGATCTGATTTTTTTAACGAGGCGTAGCCGAGTGGAAAAAATAGTCGAGATGACCAAAGTATTTCGCGCTCGAGTTGCAAACACAATTTTTTCTACAAACGTCAGAAAATATAGTTCTAAAGTGAAAAAATGCTTAGCTTGATATAAAAAATAGTCTTGAACCGGCTTAAAAGGCCTCCCTCTATCCTCCCTAAGTACGCACGATGTTCCACGAACATAATAGGAATTTCCTTTCGTGCGCTCCAAGAGATAGAACGAAGTAATTGTTGAACATTCAGAAATGAATGATTTCGTGGATGTTTGCTCGATTGAGGACCATGAAGTTGAAATATAAATATCTCATATATTTTGCATAACAATGCGCGAAGTAGGTACTTCGCGCACTGTTTTACTTCGCGCATTGTCTTATGCAAGGTATCATGGTAACGTAGGAAACTGAAAAAAAGTGTCACTTCGCAATTTGTTATAAATGCGCGAACCTTGTCATTTTTTGACGTTTGTAGAAAAAACACTTTTTCTTATCTATCAGCATTATATGTATGTAAGTATATGAGTATGAAATGAAGAAGGAAATAAATTTAAAATTCAGTGGAACCCATCAATCTATCACATCATACAATTTATATCATATAAAATCATGTCACTAAACCAGGCATGTTCGTTTGTATTGCTGAACTCGCTAAAGTTCAGTTTTTTCCATAGTTGTCTCTGTTCATGGTAAACAGAGAAAGTCATAGAAAAAAATCGAGTTCAGCAGGTAGAGCAAGCACAAACGAACAGCCCTTTTCTGTGAATAAACATCTCTCCCGCAAAAAAATGGTTTTACATTTATTCGGCTACCACAAGCTAAATTTTCCTTATAGTTACGGGAATATCCCTCGGGCATTATAACAATGTTTACAACCACTACCTTGCCGTCTTCCCACAGGACCACAACAAATTTGCTCCACAAACTAGTAATTCAGTATAGATAATATCCAACAGGAAGTATCTGGAAATATTCATGACAGGAATTCATCTCAAAGTGGCCCAATTCGTTCAAAACTGATCCAAAGAACAGGATATCTTCTGAAATAATACATACAGACCTATATGAAATCTCGGAAAAAATTCTCGAAATAGTAAGTCAATTGTCAAGGTAGCATACCTACTTCATAACCGCGTGTTTGATGAAAATCGTTATTCATGTTAGTGATGAAGAAACTGATTTATCTCGCAAACGAACTTTTGTGTATGGAAACTATTTTATTTTCATTACCTCTCGTAGTGCGTCCCACATATTACGAAACACCTTGTATAAATTCATTCATACAAAGTGTCTCAAAAAACCGCTGCAATTAAGAAATTTTTTTTAATTGCATTATACTATATCACAAGTGTTGATAGTTTCAGAATTATGAATACTTGTAAATTAGTATTTCGAAAATTTCACACCAAACATTTTCGATCAATTTAAAGCCTGTATTTCGTATCGTTACCAAAGCAACTAAACAAATTTCTTGGAAGTTTTTTCCTCTTCCTTGGGGGAAGGAGCATGAAATCACACTGGAAATTTTTTGACGTTTATATCAACAGTTTTCCACATAATATTATGAAGGTATACTTGCAAGTTCTGAATTTACAGAAACACATGTTGTTTCTATACCTCGTTCTATACGTTAGTTCTTACATTTCATCACAAACAACCATCAGCATGTAAATTTTCTCACCGAATACCACTTTAGCTCCAATTAATATCCGGGATTTTTTCTCGAACACGAATATTCGTGTTCTAGAAAAAATTTATGGAAATAATTGAAGCTCTCCTGATATTATAAGTGACTATTTTTGCACCACTAAACCTGTTCAGTGGAAAAACCGTAACAAATAGAACACAATGCATTCCACCTTTCAATCCTAACTTTTTGAAAGCTTTCAACATTTTTTTATAATATATAAAATAAAGCACTTACGGGAGGGGCGACGGACTTTACACCTTCTCGAGTTCTGTGGCTCTCACTCTCATAATTCTATAAGACGACCACAGGAAAGAATATGACCCCAGACTCCAGAGCACAATATAGGTAAATGTTGCGACGGAATTTCTAGCGCTCTTTATAAATGGTGGTATCAATTCAATTTCTATACTCTAAAACACAAAGTAATCACTTGTTTTACACCTGGTATACAGGGTGTTTCATTGGGAAAGGTAAATAATTCAACTGTGGGTAGGGGTCACTGAGGTGAATTCAAAACACTCGACATCTTATAACCGAGATACGGTCAATTCGACAGGGTATTTTGTTCTAAAATTGTTCTAAAATTGTTCTATCCATCATTCGGTTGCCCCCTTACGAGCAACCCTCAGAAGTCTTCGATAGACTTGTGCGAGCAAGGAATGACGGGAGCCTTACCTTTTAACGTGTGATCCCAAACACTTTCTTAGGCCATCAGAAAAAGTCTGCGTTCGTGGGACTCGAACCCACGATCGATACCTCGACGTGAATCGATATTGAAGCATCGAAGCACTGAGGTACGCCGGCCTACTTAATTTCGACAGGGTATAGATTGAGTAAGTTTACCAATTTTCAAAAAACAGGTTGGTTGGGAAGTTATGAGACAATAAAGATATGGGCAAATTTGATGAAACATCCCGTATCTCGGTTATAGGATGTCGATGACCCATTGACCATGGGTTTTTTGAAATCACCTCAGTGACCCCTATCCGTAGTTGCATTATTTACCTTTCCCAATGAAAAACCCTGTATAACGTCAATCGTCTCTTGAACTAGTCATAGAATCAATCCTGTAGGTATATCTAAAATTGATTTTTGTTTTAATTGAATCCCGACTTCTATTATGAAAGTTAATTTATATTTTAATCGCTTAATCATGAGAATCTAATAATCACGTATTCACGTCTAATGGCAATTATGGAATAATTTCTAATTGGAACCACCAAATTATGTACTTGATTGAATATGTCTTCTCCACGTGTACACGCCAACACACAAAAGAGAAAAAACCGATTTAACTCTTTGAAATAGGTGTTTTTCAATATAATTATGTATACCGGATGACACAGAGTATCGGGCCACCCCTGTAACTTCTGCATTCGTTAACGGATTTTCCTGGAAGTTGATACAGTTTTATGAGCAACCATTTCGGATTTTCTCACATTACAATCCAAAATGGCAAACATCCGGTTTTTCTGGAAATGCCAGCAACTTCGTTTTTTCAAAGAGAACACCCTGTTATTCTCAAGGTTTTTCCGTGCGCTGTTTCCGTGCGATAGCCCGAGAAAGCCTATCTCACAATATTACAAATATATTTAGATGAAAACATGTTGATTTTAAAGAAGTGTGATAAAAAGCTTTTTTGATAATTGCTGGTGGAAAGGTTATGTCTGACAAGAATTTGTATTTATGTAATAGAAATACAAAGAAGAAAGAGCTTCTCGAATGGAAACTTTGTTTGAATCTAGTAGGTACTCACGAGGTCGTAAATTTTCACTATTTGTTTGGTTAATTCAAATGAGCTTGAAATTTTGCTAATGAAAATGGACTAATCTGGTGACCAATCAACACCCGAGAAGCCTTCATGAGTACTAGTCATTGCATTCGGCAAGAATAAGTCAACAACCAATTAAGTACATACATATAACGTGGTTACTTTGCCAGAAATTTCGGGTTTTTGCGAATAATTATTGAACGGTAAATGATATAGGTATGTATTCGCCTGAGGAGTATGTTCAATTTTGGCTCTTTCTTTATGCGACCAATAGATTCAATTTGAAGTAGGTATGGAGAGAGTATTTCGAATTTTGAAATTGGCAAAGTATACACACAACTTGATGAACATTGTATCTAAGGTTCTGCGTTGTATCCTTGGTATATTGAATATTGTTTACGCTCTGTTACATGAATAAATGCCATTATGCCATTAACAGTCTGTTCTAATGTTTCTGGAGTGTATTCACATAGTAACGACTCCTTAGTACATTTTGTACTTCTTAGACAGGTAACGGAACTGCAAATCATGCCAGAAATGTATGACAAAGTAACCCCGAAATTGAAAAAAATATATCGTGGAACTTTGCCAACCCCCAAAAATTCGTTAAGTTATCGATATAATGTTTTGAAATCCTGTAAGAATATCGATAAGAGGTATGTTGAGGTCACTACTATGAATATATTGAAATGAATATACTCACGAAACCAACTGTCGCACGTACACAAAAACTCCCGCCAAATAGGCAGGTGGTTTTCGGCACCTATAGAGCTCTAGCCTATTGGGCTATCTGGAATCTTCCACGAATAAAAGACATTTGAAGAGTTTCTAAATACAGGATTGCATGCAGATACACAGACATTTGGGAAGGGAAATTATTTTACAAGAAAAGGAACTCAACCTGGTATCCGTCGTATGTCCAAGAAGCCCATTTCATCTGGCAACTCTGGAGATCGAATGGAAAGTACTCCACATTGATGTCGCATGATGATCTGTAGATGCCGTGACTAAGCCAAACAACTTCTCCAGTATTGGAAACGATGACATTGGTGTTGATGACGGAAGACTGAAATTGGGGATCCGCACTGAAACAATTTTGTTTATGAATCTTAGTCAATCTATGAGTCAGACATATAAATTTTGTACACGAATAGGTGATAAATGAGCTATGACCAATCAGTGACGAGAGCCTAAAGTTTTCAAACCATTCCCAAATCTCATTGTCAGATTGGTCACAGTGAATCACGTGAAAGCCTAAATCACTATATAAAAACGATCACAGTGGTATGGCGCTGCCAGGCCAATCTTTTTGAGGTGGTAACTCAGATGGCAGTATCCTGTGATAAGCTGTTGCTCTGGTTTGCTGAGGCTGAGTAGCTCTTTGGTTCGGTCTTGCGATTGATTGATGAACCTTTTCGCTTGTCGTTGACCTGGAGCTGCTCTCCAGTAGGAGGGCTTTTCAATCTTTTCCCATTTCCTGAGTTCTCCCGTTAGGTGATAATTGCTTATCCCACAAAAAGGCTCAGAACCAAAGAGTGCAGATGCTGCATCTTTCTTTGCAAACGACCAGCTGCCCCATTTACTTTGATTCCTTCATGCCCTGGAACCCACATAAGTGTCCATGACCAGTCAAAGGAATTCCTCTCCAGACCATAGCCTGCTACTTACGAGCTAATAATCAAATTCAATGATTTTTTTAATGATATATAGACAGTATTATTTCTAAAAATTTCATGATAAAGCTATTCAAGAAGTTTATCCTACCATTGTCGATCTAAATGAAAACCTAGTAGTGCGAGAAGGTATAATAGGTTGTCATCTAGAACGACAATGATCCTATACCATCAAGAATAATAAGCAAAATTATAGAACTTCAACCTATTTCGGATCATCAACTGAAAAATTAGCTTCATTTCTACATAAATAAGACTCAAAAATAGTATACCGGATGTCCCAGTATACCTGTTCCAATAGATTATCTCAGCCATTTCGAAAGATGAAAATTTGAAAATCGAGATTACAAATTTATCGTAGCCTACTGCAATTCGTTCAATTTGAAATTTCAATTGTCGTGTTCTCCATCGAATCAAATTTAAAATACGAAGTGTGATACATCGTTGGAACGGTAAGTTTGAGTAGAAATCAAAAATATAAAAAAATATACAAAGTGCTATTTGAAATAAAAAAGTTTAGGTCACTTCTGGTCAAACCGGAAGTGACTTTCAATTTTTGTTATGCTCAGTTGAAGCTCCCTTGAACGAATTGAAGATCATAAAATTTTCGAATTTTTTTTTCCTCGAAATGGCTGAGATAATTCATTGGAACAGGTATACTGGGACACCCAGTATAGAACAAATAACACTTTGAGAAAGTTTATGAAAAATGATAAAGACAAACACTCCTAATTTCGAAAACTCATGGGTATACAAACTCAACTGTGGATCTTGTCCCAAGGTATATATCGGTCAGACAGGTCGTACGTTTAATCAGGCATTCATGAACATAAAATGAATTTTTGAAAAAGAAAACAAATTCAACATACGCCAACCATATATTAGAAGAAAACCATAGCTTAGATGAATATCTCGATATTCGACATGTAGAAAATGGAGGAATGAACACAATCATTTTGAATCATTAGAAATCATCTAACTCAAAAATTTCGACATTCAACTTAACGATCACTTAGACCTGAATGATTCACCACTGTTGAATTTGTTTTCTTAGTAGGTAATAATAAGTATTCACCGTATTTTAAAGTAGATATTGTGCCTTATTTCCGAAAATGGAGGTTTATGGAACCTGTTCACAGGTAACTAATCCTTCAAGTTGGGAAAGTAGGATATATAAAAGCAAGCCAGGGTTGGTTTAGTTCATTGTAACCAATATATTATCACCTAACGAAGCTACTGTGTTAGCGAAACATGTGTGTTTAAGAATTTTATGGAAATCTTATAGTTGAAATCATGTTATGCTATGAAATAGTATTTCTGGAGTGGGTATTAGGAAAGATAATATGAAGTGAACCCAAGAAAGAAATGTTTGAAAAAGATAATGCTAAGGTGTAATTTCAATTCTAACTTGATAATGTTACCTCAACATACTCTAATAGATATTACATACTTATATACAGGGTGATTCATTAAGAATGGAAAATCTCTGAACTACAGATAGGAAACACAAGAACAATGAGATTTAGCCCAATATGCCTGATGAGAATATTGCTGGTTTAGGAGAGACAGGGTGATCTAGGGGGAGATTTTATTTCAAAATTTCACAATAACATTGTAAGTTTTAACAGCATTAACATGAAATCTTGTATTTCTAGGTTTTCTGACATGAGGAATATGATGATATGTTTCTTCGATAATTTACATCATATCTTCTATGTCGATACATTGATGATAAAAATAGGTGGAAAATATGAAACCTCGTTCAAGATTTCATTTCAAAATATCTTCTGCTTAACCACCCTGTATCTCTTAAACCAGCAATATTTTATTGAGGCATGTTGGGCTAAATCTTTATATCTGGGTGTTTACTATCTGTAGTTCAGGGATTTTCAATTCTCAATTTAATGAATAAAATTATTAACATATGTTATAATTGGAAAATGGATCTCTTCAAGTGCGAATAACACAAAAACCGTTGAAGCTAGACAGTTAGATGAAAAGTAAATGTTTCATGTGAAATTGATTGAGCTTTCAGATTTTCCACTTATTTTGATCATCAATGAATTGTTATAGAAGATATGATGTAAATTATCGAAGTAACAGAGTGCCACTAGCGCCCTCTATGAGCAACCACAAAATAAGTTGCAAATTCCTATTCCTCATGTCAGAAAACCTAGAAATACAAGATTTCATGTTCATGCTGTTGAAACTAACAAAGTTATTGTGAAATTTGGAATAAAATCTCCCCCTAGAACACCCTGTATATCCTAAACCAGCAACATCCTCATCAGGCATATTGGGCTAAATCTCATTATTTTTGTGTTCACTATCTGTGGTTCAGAGATTTCCCATTCTCAATGAATCACCCTGTATAACGAGATTCAAAATTCGATGACTTATTGTTGGGATGAACATGTGTTCTAAATTGCACCCCCTCCAAACTACAGCCACTGTGAGTTTGGTAAAAAAAAGATTATCCGAATTTGTGTTCATGATAGCTAATCAAATCGTCTCAAAATCGGCATGCTTCTGCTTTTCAAGAACTTTTCTCATTTGTTGCATAAAAAATTATGTTTACTCGGTTTTTAGGGAAATTTTTTTCTCGTGGGCACTAGAGGTCGGCAAGACAAGAATCAAGACAATATCAAGACAAGATCTTGAAATTTTCAAGACCTTGCCGCCCCCAGGGGGCACCCACCAGCGTATGAAATCGGAAACCTTTTTATGACGTTTTATGACGTTCAAAAATAGTGATTTTTCACTAGAAATCAACAATTAATAGGCTAAGAATCCATTGATGTTCTAACTGCATCTAATATATAGAATGTCATACCACTACCTGGGCCAGTGTAAGACGTTATGGAAGGCTAAAATTCGAAATCTCTGGTACCGATACGCTTCAACAGGAAGAGCAAATTACTAAGGAGGACGGACGTACCATGGATCAAAGGGTGTGTTTCATCTATGGACTGACCTTCATCAGACATCGGTCGGAGGTTCGAAAAGGAGAAATAGGAGAAGGAATAGTAGATAATATGTGCACATGACGTGTGCAGCAGGGGTCGGCAAAAAGTCTTACTGGGGCCTACTTGCTAGGCGACCGCCTCCCCTTTCTCTACTACTAGTATGTATACAGGGTGATTCACCATAAATGTTACCCCCTCTAGCTCAGTTATTTTTGAACCGATTTCGAAATTTGAATTAACATCCTAAATGATTTTCGATTATGTTTTTTTCCGCTACATCAGAAAATACAGGGCGCTCGTAACAAACGATCTACAGGAAACTATTTGATTTTTTTAAATGGAACACCCTTTTTTTCATTGTATTTTCAGATTCTCCCTGAAGAGCTGATTTGATCAATGCATCACACTTGGGGTATAGCGGGAATGATTACAGAGATATAGGGTGTTCAAAATCGAGATTTTTTACCTTCTGGATTTTTTTGTGACGAAACTATTCATTATCGGTCAAAACGATTTCCATGACCGTATCCGAACTTTTGATTCACTATCTACTGACATTCAATAATTGGAACAGATACGTATACAGGATGATCAGAATTCTGAATCTTGAACCACCCTGGTAAATATTCCAATTTAATGTCAGTAGAATCAAAAGTTGAGATGGGGACATAGAAGCCGTTTTGACTAATAATGAATAGTTTCGACACGAAAATATCCTGAAGTTGAAAAATCTCGATTTTGAACACCCTATATCTGTGTATTCATTCCCGCTAGACCCCAAGTGTGATATATTGATAGAATCAGTTCTTCAGGAAGAAATTAAGAAGACAATGAAAAATGCAGGGTGTTCCATTAGAAATGATCAAGTAGTACTCTCTAGATCATTTGTTCCGAGCACCCTGTATTTTCTGATGCAACGGGAAAAAAATTACTGAAAAACCATTCTAGGTTATTTTTCGAATTTTCTAATCGGTTCAAAAATAAGTGAGATATAGGGGGGGGGACATTTATGGTGAATCACCCACCTATGAAAAATTCATTGACAAAATTATAATTTCTCATCACTTGTAGTATCACGAAGTTAATATAAAATAGGATTTTGAACTAGTATTTTCATGCAAATATAATAGGTATAAATCAGGAATCTATATTATTGGTGCCGAAACTGCGACCCAAACTAAATTAATTCATGAACCTGTATGCAAATAAAATCAACAAATGAATTCTACAATTATTATTTAATTTCCAAACACAATCTGGTTTGAATTTTCTTACCGATTACCACACGAGGTCAAATTACTTCCCGGGAATTTTTTCGTGCTCACGAATTTTTCGAAAAAATTTCCGGTAATAATTTGACTTGTAATGGTATTACAAGTGGAAATTTATCTCAAACTTTTGGAAACTTTTTGGTGGTGCTTTCATTTTTTGGGGACGTGTATTTCA